TGCAAAGTCATGTTTCAACTGAAAGTGCAAGCATTCGAGTTCTTCATCAGAACTGCAAAGTGGCCGGTCACACATGAAGTATGCAGCAACATGAAACGCATAAGCCCCACACAGGTTGTGAGACTGCGACTCCATGACACACTGGACAATGAGTTCCGGACAATCAACTGCAAGTGGCTGGATGACACTGTGGTACATGGACGGGACAAAAACACGGACCACATGGACACAGCGGGCACAGACAACAGGGACCCAGTGGTTACCAATCAACACAACCTGGACCAGCAAGTACTCCTGGCAGCCGACAAAATTCCGCAAACTGGCTGAAAGCTCCTGCAATCCTTGCAGAACCAAGATGGGTATGGCCGGGCATTTGCTGGCATTCCTGGCAACTTGCAAGCGCTCAACATGGAATTTCATCTCAGCAACATCCATGGCTCGAGTCTGCAAGTGGAAGTCACAGAAAGGACCCCGCACATCAACGTCAGGCATCTGAACAGGCAAGGTGGAGCAACCAACATGCCACTGAACCAGGCCATGGACCATAGACCAATCAAAATTCTGAACCGCAAGTGAGGAGCAATCAACCCAGGCACCAGAAGAGCTCTCTACCTCAAAACCCAGGACACTTTCCTGTGCGTGCGGCTCAGGGTGCTTCAAGCAGGGCATTATAGGGAGTAGCCCTGATTCCCAGAGAAGGCATCCATTCCCCCAAATCACCGGTTCAGGGACCATACTTTTGGTGTACAGGTCGGCCACAAATGTCGCACGCATGTTGGTGTGCAACGTCGACAAAGTGTCAATGGTTTCAGGCAGGCGTGCACCATGAACAATATGTGCCAAGAACATCATGGAGAACGTGCCACACATGTCATGATTAGGCAGGAGTGAAGGTGAAATGTGCAAAGCAAACAATGGGAATCCCAACTGTTGCCCAATGCAGGCACAAACGTCACGGAATTTCTGGGCATCAGCCACTTCATGTGCAACAGTGTGAAATGTGATGCAATCATCTTTGGGCACGATCCAAAACGGGAACCAATGATTGTCCAGTAAAAACGCCGTAAGGATCTGTTTCCCTTGGGTACGGACCTCCGGGTTTCTCTCACACCACCTTGCAGAAATCGTTCGTCCGATGGACTCCCAGCAAGTGAAAACCAGGGGCTCAAAGAACAGATAGTGCACATCAGGCTCGCGATGTCTCTCATTGAGAATGGCATAATACCGGTCAATGATATGCAAAATGTGAAACCTGATCTCATCATCGGCAACAGCATGGTGGTGAACAGCAATCAAATCCAACCGTTGGTCCCTAGTCAACGTAACTGGCAATGGCACTGTGTCACTTGGCTGGACCGGCTGGTCTGCATGCCTGTTTTGATCCCCCTGGGCCCAAACCCATGGCCTTCGTGTGATGTCGCAAGTGGAGAGGGAGGTGACAAAATCTCCACGATACATCTGGAATCTTTGCATGGTTTCATCATGGGTGGCAGGCAATTGCACATGAAGGTAAACATGGTGCAAGTATGCAATGGCAAGGGTGCCACAAAGCTCAGACGTGAGAAACATTCGTTTGTCACATTGTATGCAAACCGACACAAACCCCATTGCCAAACCCACACGTTCAATGACTTCATTCAGCTGGAGGTGATCAGTCCCCTCAGCATCCCAAACAAACACATGCAATGCATCACCAACTGGATTCATCGAAACCGGCACCCAATGCGAGCCCAACTTGAAGACAGTTGCAACAGGCAGCGACTGAGCATGGATGAACCCATGGTCATGGCCCCATGCTTCGCATGAAAAGGCCTTCCCTTGCATCCAGGCCGATGTAATCAGTGGGTCAATGGTAACCAACTGCTTGACAGGGTCTTTGGAGTAATGAACTTGAACATCAAAATATTTCTGACTGAGAGCAAAAAGGTGAAACCTAAGTTCATCATCCGAAAAAATGGAACCCTGATTGGCCAAAATGGCGAGGCGATCTTGCACTTTCAAAAATTGGTTACGGACTGACCAAAGCTGCCGCGGGGTTGAGATTTGGGGTGTGGACAAAAACAGGAATTGTTCACCCTGAAGCCCCAACAAAGGATCTGCGTTAAGCCACTCCTGCTGCTCTTGGATGGAAGCAACTGTACACTCCCCAATGTCAAAAATTGAGGGCTTCCGAATGCACTCTGCTGGTGGATGCGTCCATGGAGCAGTTGAAGGAACCTCAACATCAATGCAGGTAGCCGGGACGCTTCCTACACTCTCACCCTTATCTTCATGCTCTACACCCAGGCCCGGTCTGGCAAATTTGATGAAAATCAATTCACCTACAGCAAGGCAATGTGACAACGGCAAACTTTGTCCGGAGGAATTGATGCATTGCTGAACATGGCAGGGGCCAATCAATTTCTCATGGGCGCAAATCAGCTCTTGCAGGGTGGACCCAATGATTGGGTTCAACTTCACCGGGACTTGATCATCACCATCGAAAATCACCGTGCAAAATGCAGCATCAAGGGTTGGGCATGCACTTTTGGGTTCAAATTGAGCAGGGACTTCAATCCACGGAGTTTCCGGTTCATTCATTTCACAATCTTCAACGTCAACAACAGATGCATGAAGGGCATGGTATTGGTGAGCCCTGAAAAGAACATCCAAAATTGCCGCAATGGAAACTGGACCCTCGATTTTGGTATCCCATCTCTGTGGGAACATCAGCTCTTCGAGTGATAATTGCTCAACACTTTGCCAGCACTGGACCAATGGGGAATACTTCTCCAACCACAAGTTCTCGTCATTTTGAGGCCAGACTAAGTTGCATTTCATCACAAGCCAAGACATGTACGCATGCAGTTGAGTTTCCATGGAAAATTCACACTTCCCAAACCGCAAAACATCAAGGTGATTCGAAATGGCAGCCATGACCCAAAGAACCTGAAGTGGGCTAGCAATCTGTCCTACCGCTGACAAGGTCAATCTGGGTTCAAAACCAAAATCCAAGGTCGGATCCATTCCATTGAGAGCCATTGCCTCACAAGGGTGAATGTGTCGGATATGTGACTCCCCTTTACAATTCTGCGCACTCTGGACAAGGAGTCCAAAGAGGCCCTTCTCAGCCAAGCGATGTGCCGAAAGGCCGTAGCTACGGCACCCACAAGGGCAAGCAATCATTTGATTACCCCACGCATGCAGGGCGCATGGCGCTGTTCCCTTGGAATTCATGAGGTACTTTGAGAAATCACATTCATTGCCACCAAAAGCATGTTGTTCAATACCAGACAACTTCAAGGCCTCCTCATCATCCATGTCCCAAGGTTGAATCAAAGGAATCAAATGTTCAATTGTTGGCACTGCATGATGGCATGAAAATTCAGGAATCGGAACTGATCCAATCACCGGTGACGTGACAATCCACCATGAACGGTTTCTACGGCATGGCCATACCTGATCCAATTGCATATTTCTTTGAGTGCATGAAAAACCAGTGACTTTGCAAAAATGCTCTAACTCCGTTTTCACGAAAGAGTCATTGGCCGCTGGCGCAACACATTCCAGCACAAGAATGTGAATTCTCAAATAAAAGGCAGCAGAGAGGATCTTCGTCAGGCAGCTAGACCTGGCATCTTCGGAGCTCTTTCTATCTCCCAAAGACGAAAAGGGCTGGCAGCTAAAGCCCGCCGTCATTGTGCGGGATCCCTGGGAGTCCTTCCAAAGCTGACAGATGGTTTGCTTGTCACCCACATCCCCAACAACGAAAGGCACATTGGATACTTTTGAGAAAAGGTTGGTCATCCTTGCATTGTGGTCCACCGCAACTGTTGTATGAAAGCCACATGGGAGAATACCCTGAGTGAATCCACCAAACCCACAGCAACAATCGATCACAGACATCAAACTGTCCCATGTAAGATCCTTATGACCGAGCACAACACTTGATGGGTTCAACGCGACTGACGGAACAGGATACTGAGAGACCAAAGTTGCATCGAACAGTGTGTAACTTTCATAACCTGCATGTAAAAGTCCAGAGAGAAAGAACTGCTGCTTTGATGGGAAAACTTCCATGACATGCCGGTCATGTTCGAAGTCGAATATCAACATCTTCCCAACCAAATGGATGTTCTCCCCCTTGTCCAAACCACACCAGTCCATGGGATATGTACGAGCCATGGCTAACAAATGGAAGGAAACCTGCCCGAGATTTGCTGGCCCAACCGGACCAACTGGGAGGTTCGGGCCTCACGGCTATGTTCCAAACCACCAACCAGATTGGAATGATGATGGATTCAGCTGCATCAAACTTATAGCATCTTAAGATGGGATTCTACCCCAGGGTGAAAATACAAGAAAAAATTGAACACCCATGCGGTTTCCCTAGGAAAATGATTCTACATCTGATGCATGTTCCACATCTATGCTAGTTTACCCAAGGGAATATATATATATATATATTATATATTAATATCAAATCTCAAATAACATGGATGGACATGGTAGGAAATTATATGCATATAAACATAAATATCAATGATTTAATAATGTCATTAAAATTCATGCAGTTACATTTCAACTCAAGTATTATGATTCCCATAATCCACTATAGTATTTTAGGGAACTACCACGATGATTCAATAGCATAAGGAATTACAATCATAATATTGACTAAAGTGGACACTTACATATTGCAAATCCGTTGAGATTGACAATGATTGAAACTGGAACTGTGTGAGTGTTTCGAGAAATTTATCATTGCCCGGCATGAACTACATTTGTAATGATAAATGCTAGTATAGTGGGATATTTGTCTGGGATAAATCAATATAAATCATCTCTGAAGGACTCCATTTTTGGTCAAAATAACTCCAAGAACTAGGCTTGATTCTATTTCACTATAGTATTCATGGCTGAAATTCAGTTTAAAAACTGGAGGGCTCCGCGTTTGTCATGTGCATTATCCCAGGAATGTCCCAGGAAGTCTCAACTCACCACATCAGACCCTCCGCTGCCTCGCTCAACATGACTCTGGCAGCTGTGTGACGGACTTCCACACGCGCCTCCGTGCGTCGCTGTGGTCTTGACCCATGGCTATGATTAAAAAAAATATTTATATACATATATATATATATATAATTATATGCATATGTATAATATATAATATATTAATAATAGATATGTGCGTGTGTGTTACGATGAAATGTTTATGACCAATGCACATTGAATATCATTTAATTATATAGATGAACTGAGTTTGATCGATGATCAATGAATTATTTGTGAATGTACTGTTTGTGTCACCAACAAACGTCGATTTGTCATCAAGCATGGATCTAGCACCAAAAATGCGTAAACAACGAGGACAAAAGACCATGGGCAGAGAGCAACACAACATGATAACATTGGTGTTTCGTCAAAAACAAATACCTCAAAATGGGTGTGAAATAGTTTTAGGTTTTTTTTTTGAGCAGGTTTGGGATTTTTTTTTGGATTTCTTGGCTGGTACCATTTGCCTAGTGTTTGCAACGGTTTGGAACTTGAATTTGTCATTTTGCATGGTATTTGCCACATTTGGGCATGTTCACCTTCCATTTTGCATGGGATTCATACAAACCCCCACCCCAATGTGGGATGTTAACCTTCCATTTGGTGCTAAATCTTACTAATGGTATGTGCACATGTGGGCATGTTCACCTTCCATTTTGTATGGTATTTGCCACATTTTGGCATGTTCACCTTCCATTTTGCATGGGATTTCCTACATGTGGGCATGTTCACCTTCCATTTTGTATGGTATTTGCCACATTTTGGCATTTTCACCTTCCATTTTGCATGGGATGTTCTACATGTGAGCATGTTCACCCAAATATTTACAGATGCGGAAGTTTGGGATTAGATAAAAAGCGGGTGGGGGGGATTGAGGGAGGGCGCTAGCTATCTATCCAGCTAGCTAGCTATCTAGCTATCTAGCTAGCTATCTATCTAGCAAGCTATCTATCTAGCAAGCTATCTATCTATCTAGCTATCTATCTACCTATCTAGCTAGCTATCTTGCTAGCTATCTATCTACCTATCTAGCTATCAAGCTAACTATCTATCTAGCTATCTATCTACCTATCTAGCTAGCTATCTTGCTAGCTATCTATCTACCTATCTAGCTATCAAGCTAACTATCTATCTAGCTATCTAGCTATCTAGCTTTCTATCTATCTAGCTATCTATCTATCTAGCCATCCAGCTGTCTATCCAGCTATCTAGCTATCGAGCTATCTAAATCTAGCTAACTATCTATCTAGCTATCTAGCTATCTAGCTTTTTATCTATCTAGCTATCTATCTAGCCATCCAGCTGTCTATCCAGCTATCTAGCTATCGAGCTATCTATCGAGCTATCTATCTATCTATCTATCTATTTATCTAGCCAACTATCTACCTATCTATTTAGCTATCTATTTAGCTATCTATCTATCTATCTATCTATCTATCTATCTATCTATCTATCTATCTATCTATCTATCTATCTATCTATCTCTCCATCTATCTATCTATCTATCTATCTATCTATCTGTCTATCTATCTATCTATCTATCTATCTATCTATCTATCTATCTATCTAGCCATCTATCTATCGAAGTATCTAGCTATCTATCTCTCTAGCTATCTATCTATCTAGCTGGCTATCTATCTATCTATCTATCTATCTATCTATCTATCTATCTAGCTATCTATCTATCTAGCTATCTCTTTATCTATCTAGCTAGCTATCTATCTATCTATCTAGCTATCTATCTATCTATCTAGCCATCTATCTATCTAGCTATCTATCTAGCCATCTATCTATCGAGGTATCTAGCTATCTATCTCTCTAGCTATCTATCTATCTAGCTGGCTATCTATCTATCTAGCTATCTATCTACCAAGCTATCTATCAGCTATCTATCTATCTATCTATCTATCTATCTATCTATCACATGTAATCCTGTCAGCTTTCCAGAGAAGGTTAGTTCGCAAAAACCAACTAATGTAACTTGGGTTTAAGTTTAAATAAAAAAAAGCAGGAGGGGGGGATTGGGGGGAGGGCGCAGCGCCTCCCCCCAAAGCAGAATGCAAGCACCTCTTCTCACATGTTACGTTGCTAGTTTTCAAGAGAAGGTTGGTCATGTGATACTCAGGGATGTAAATACTGTGCAAAATGCATCTTACATGAAAATCAAGTATTTAAAGCAGGCAAAGCAAAAAAAAAAAGCAGAGACGCAAAAAAGCAGAGAAGCAAAGAAACAGGAAACGCGCAAAAGCAAAACAGCAGAAAGGCAAAGAAGCAGGAAAAGCAGAAAAGCAGAGAAGCAGGAAAAGCAGGAAAAGCAGAGAAGCAAAGAAACAGGAAGAACAGAAAAGCAAAAAAGCAGAAAAGCAGAGAAGCAGAGAAGCAGGAGAAGCAGAAAAGCAAAAAAGCAGAAAAGCAGAGAAGCAGAGAAGCAGGAGAAGCAGAAAAGCAAAAAAGCAGAAAAGCAGAGAAGCAGGAAAAGCAGGAAAAGCAGGAAAGCAGAGAAGCAGGAAAAGCAGAGAAGCAGGAATCCAAAAATAATTCCTAAACCTGATCCAAAAAAAAACCTAAAATAATTAGCCATCCCCTCAAAATCAACCAAAATATACTTATTGCGTTGGTTGTCTTGTTTTTTGCTGGGAAATCCGGGAGAAATCTTGGGGGGTCATTCATGGCCTTCCCTTTTTCTCACCCGTGGATCAAAAGTTGACAAGCTAGCCATGGAGACCCAAATCCAGGGGTTCTCCCGTTGGACAAATCCATTTGTTTCTGCTACTCAGGGAAGTAATCTCAGGATTCCTGACTGGTAAATCTAAAAAACGACCAGCAGGTCTCCTGATGAGAAGTCTCTGGTCTTAGCCTCAGTTACCCATCACATCTTTTGACAATCCCATTTGGGTGAATCTAGAAATAGGCTACCCCCAGGTCCAATGGATTATCATCATTTTCCCTTTTCATATGGCCACTTTCAAGGCCTAAACAATCCATTTTCAAACAACCCAAAGGCCATTGGCCATGCATTCCGTCACGTTTAATGTTGCTACCCCGCCTTGGGGGGAGTCTTTGGTCCTTCCAGCAGCTGCTGCCCCTCGGGCGTTTGGCTCAGGGCTGTCTTGAGCGCGTGAGCGAAGCCCGAACCTCATGATGCGGATCTGGACCAAAAAAAATGGGTGGCTTATTTTGATGCGGACTATGGGACCCCTGAAACTGTGTTTCTGGCTTGGATGTTTCTGGCTGATCTCCGGAATATCTCCACTGCCCGCTGGGTTTAGTTGAGTGAGTTTTGGCTACGCGAAACAAATGAAAACTGGTTGATGCATTCTTCTCTTTCTGGGCAAATTATAGTTCCCGAGCCAGAAGCAAAACACTTTGCTAAGATTCACTCTTCTAATCATCAGCAACATGGGAGTTGGCCAGTGAAGGTTGCGTTACCGTAGGATGAACCACCAAGTCACTCACCAGATGTATCCCTTAATTTCCATATGAGAGGCGGACAAAATTACTTACTACATGGACATGGCCAAAGTGGGTGGTGGCCTATCGATTGTGAAGGTTTGTACTTCCATGCTATGTGTGAAAAATATGAAAATAGGGTATCGGTAAGTGGGTGGTCCCCTATCGGTTGTAATTAAAGGTTTTCGCACAAATTTGAACATCCCAAGTCCACTCCCTACTACTTTAGTCGTCCGATAATTTTGTCAGTTGCTCATATGTTTCCGCAGGTAGCTAAATTCTATTTATATATATATATAATATATATATAATCTATACGTATCACATTTTTTGGGTGATGAAACTCCATTTCTCAGCTATTTTGGTGTTCCCCAAGGATTTTACTCATAGCTCTTAATCCCACAAGTTTCTGGTATCTCGATCAATTCCATGTTTTCCTGCTCCAATGCACCTCATGTTCATAGTTTCCATGATTTTCCTGCTTAGATGAAATCCCACCCCGAGCAATGGGTGTTTCAACACCCCTCAATTAAGTTGTCTCCGGTGCCAAGCATAGCCCATGCCGCCCGGTGGCGCAGAGAATTACAACGGTTTTTCGCTCCGGCACTGGCATCCGGATGTTCGGCCAGTAGAACTTCCTGCGAACGAAAAAAATGTTCGGTGCAGAGGAAATGGATGTTATAATGTTGGTCTAGAGACTTTACTATGATTAAGTACTGTTAAAAGCTTTAAAAACCACTATCATGGATGTTATATTGTTATATGATGGTTTAGATCAAACCCGTAAATGCTGCTATATACTTATATATATATGTCTCACAAACCACTGTTCACCAACTTAGCTAAGAATTGAGAACCGAAAATGGGGAATGTGGGGAAAAATATTGGGACTTCAACAGGGACATGGATTTCATGGGAGAAAATGACGAGAGGATGGATGATGTTTCAGATGATGGGAAAATGACAATGGAAAAAGGATGGAAGGCCGGTTGATTTTGAATGATTTTCTATATGTTCTTAGGAGTTTTTGGGAAAATCAACAGGAAATTGGCTTGGACAAATGAACAAATTGAGATTAGAAAATGGGGGCACCCGCGGTTTAGCAAGGACTTTTAGCATGAAAATAAAGAAAAAAAACGACTCCAACAACAATCACCTGCACTTTTTGCCTGTGTTACAAGAGGAAGTGTGACCGGTTTGATTCTGGCTATTCAGTCAGGGGATCGCATGGCCATTGGAGGATCGTGCCCAAAATCCCTTGGATCAAGATACTTCCGAAACTTCACCTCCTGACACAGCAAAATACAAGAAATACATATGAATTATAAATATATCAAATACAAGTCCTCAGGTGTGGACTGGGGATCCAGACAGGAATAACTTTGATATGATGCCAAGGTTTCTCTCAATGCTTTGTTGGGAAATGAAATTGGAACCCCTTTCCGACATGTTGTGAATAGTCTTGGATCCTATGGTATAATATCACGGTATATCTTTAATAAATAGCTCTCTGAAATTAAACATAACTCTGGGAAATGTGGTCACATAGCTCTAACAATTTTATAGCTCCACAGCCTCGAGGCCAGCCCCGGTGCCAAATCCTTCAGCTGTTGCAGTTGTCTGCTCACCTGGCCCAGCGCCCATGCGCAATGCAGATGCCAAGGTCAATGTGAACATGATGATGCATCATTGAATCCTACGGTACCCAACAAAATCACGCAAACCAGTCATCCAAAGAAGGCCCCCCTGTTATAAGCTGGTTTGGTTTCGCCCAACTGCAGATATAGCATGACTAGTTTCACTATAGTTAATTGAGCTAACAGCTAGTGATCACCAACTTTCCAATTTGCTCATCTTGGCACCATTTTAAAGAAATCATGGCACGTGACGACATAAAGATGAGCATCAGGGTTGGTTCACACGAACGGTATTGGCAATAGACACTGGACCGGAATTGAAAACGCAATCACAACGAATTGGATTTCAGCTATCAAATGAAGGATGTGATAGGAAAATAACACGGAATTTCCGATCTTTAAGTCGAGTCTTGTGTTTGGCCTTTATAAAATTAATTACACTCTCTGGATGAAATAGCTTATGAACTAATCCCATCTGGGGATGGCTCCAATTTCACCAGGAAACTCGGCCAAAGATTCTCTTGGTTACATATCCCATAGTATCCCAGTGTGTTTCTGAAATCCCAACTTCAGTTGGTTATACCCGCCAAAAACAATGATTCATGCTAATACCGTGTGTTCGTGCTTAACACCTTTGTTGAAACCCCAAATGGGGTAAACATCTTCGATTGTTCTACCATTTTTGGTACCATTTCCGGTGCGTTTCGTTCCATTGGTTGTTGGTTTACAGAAACTCTGGTTTTGTTGGTTGGATTCGGTTAGACACCAAATTGACTTGATTACACTCACAATTTGATAGCAACATTATGTTAAATCTTCAGTTTCACAGCATTTTCGATCGGTTACTTCCATTACTGGTTACTTCCATCATATCCCCATTAGGGCAGAACATACCGTCACCTGAAATTGATTGTTGATCATCATTTTCCCCTTACTAAGGTAGCCATTTGGGGGGCAGTACTCCAATTTCATACACACCCAGATATCATTTTGTTGGTCCTCTATCTGATAAATATTCTAATTATATCCCCGTAAAGTGGTTGATCTTTTACCCCAGATATATCAGTTTATCTCAATTACCCTGTAGTAATCAAACATGGTTTGCAGGACATTTCCCCATTTAGTTTGCACCACCACCACCACCACCGCCGCTGCACCACCACCGCTGCACCACCACCGCTGCACCACCACCGCCTGCACCACCACCGCCTGCACCACCCTGCACCGCCACCCACCGCCACCACCACCACCACCACCACCACCACCACCGATATTCCAAGCACCGTCTCTATTTACTTTGAGGATAGTCCAGCTATCCATGTTTGATAACGGAGTGTACTCCCAATTTGTTCATGTTTGCTTCAAAGTTCACTGGATTGCTGTGACTATGTTTTTTTAGATGCTTTTTCGTACTACTTCATCCGGATGTATCACTTCTTTTCCCGCAACATGTTCCAGATACCCTCTGGTTATTTGACATAGCCATGGAAAATCACCATTTTTAATTAAATAGGTAAACCATCTCTTTCTATGGGCCATCGAAAAACCATGGCTATATCATATAGTCATAACCAGAGGCTATTTCCAGATCTTTCATCCCATGGTCCCATGTGGCCCCGGTGGCCTCTAACGTGCCGTGTTCACCCTTCACCGCGCGCACCAAGGACCTGGCAACGGCCTCTGCGGCGCACTTCAGCACTGGGGGGTGCTGGCCTGGCGCCGGCAATGGGGGGATTGCACCATGAAACATGGGATTTGTTTAGATAGGAGCCAATTTTGCATGTATATATATATATATAATTATATATATGGTGTATGTATATATATATATATATATATATATCAGATATCATTATATATCATCCATTACTAAGTAATGAATAGTAATTAAGCATTGGATAACTCTCTTGGCAAGTTGTAAGAATTCACGATGCTGTTGAAGCAGGCGATGGTAAAATTCCCTTTGCTAACCATGCTTGCACTTAGGCCACTGTGAGGTCACTGTGATTTACGCATGACGCATGGGAATTCATTGGATCAACTTATGGGAAGATGATTCAATTCGAACATTGACATAACCAGCATGGAACAGTTACCCTCTGGTAATTTAACGTAGCTATTGAAAATGACCATTTATAGTGGATTTTCCCATTAAAAATGGTGATTTTCCATAGCTATGTTAGTTTACCAGAGGGTATATGATGTGACAATATCTTTTGATATATTTCATCCACCAATGGGTGTGATTGCAAATGGAATATACCCCAAATGGCCCTTTGTATGGAAACTGCTGTCTAACAATCAAACTTTGGGGGAAGCCTGTCTTCAGATAAACCCAATAGTCAATATCCAGGAATATCCCGTAAACGAAAAACTGGGGTTTACTGTTGGATCTACCCCTGGCTGGGGGGCTAATGTGTCTGTGGATGGGATTAGGATGTTTACCCACAAAAAGAATGGACAAACATTGAACACACACAAAGACAAGGCCAACACAAATCTAGGTTTCTATGGTTTTGACACAAATTGAGATTGAAACGGATATACAACAATTCGTCAATATCGTTACAAAACCACTTACAACTTGCAACTAGCGAATCACCTTGTATTATATCAGCCCGAATTAAAACCATTTGGGGATGATTCCCCTTACGACGAAGCATCATTGCAGTGACGGCACATTGAGGTCATTGCAATCCAAAACAATCATCCCAACTACGATTGAAAAACCATAGATACAGTGGATGAAAGAAATCTTGCACCTGTTGATAGGTGATGATAGATGGTTTATCCCATTATTTATAAGGTTTCAACATGTTTCAACCATCCAAGGTGGTGCAGGATTTCGTAACCATGGCGCCTTGACCACCCTGACTGGACGCCATGATGGATCGAGTAAAGCGGCGGCCACGCGACTTGTCTTGGAACGTGTTGTTGATGATAGATCATTCACAACTTTGGAGGACATAATGATTTTTGAAACAAAAAGAATTGAAATGAATTGAACATCTACAACCGATTATTTTTGTTCTACCCCCAACTTGTTCGGGGAACCGTGATTCCTGCAGTCCTTTCATTGCTGATTCGAGCTTTCAAACTCTTGGGATTATCATCCCTGCTCTGATGCACGCACAAGACGCACTTGTGGTGCGGTCATCTGTCACATAGCCACTGTTTGGTTGCTACGTATACGTCATTTGATGATCAAATCTGCAGCAATACCAACCAGGTTCTCAAACCTTTGCGAGTGTTGCCCTCCTGTTTTGCCCAACAGTAATCCCAAGAACTAGCGTAACTAGCATGAACCACTCTCGGAACTGTATGCTCCAGCAACAAGCTATTATGTTTGATGTCTCCAATGTTGATCCGGGCACGGTTTGCCGTGATGTGCCAAGTCCAAAAGCGGAGACATTTTCAAGGTCCGGCAGAAAATCTGGGGAAGGAAGAAAAAAACCAGAACACACAAACACATACACATAGGATTTTTCCAACAAAGGGAATAGAACCAGATAATCAGATATAACATGATACAACTGCAATAACGGCAATCATTGGTTAAACATACCAACAATGTGGATATCATGACTTGACTTGCAAATGGCTAATCCTGGAATTCTGAACATCGCCGTGGCCAACGATTTTCGCTGCCTCTAGAGAAGTCATGGCCAACTTTCACGAGAAAACACTTAGGAAACTTCAGATTCGATGAAGATTCAGAAGATTCAGAAAGGCAGTATTTTCCGTCTGCTGGATATCAATCAACTGCACGTACGATTCACCACGGTTTGCATGGATATCAGCCAAAGATGCTTGATCTATCGTCAAATAAGAGACCTTGTTTTTAATTGACTGCATCAAAGAAATCAGTTTCACCATGTTTCACCCCCTTAGCATCACGGAGTTCTCCCTAAGGTTCGCCAGAAACTCTATCCTCCACTGATCTCCCTGACCCTCAACGGGGGATGCACCACAGAAGCGAAGTATTTGGAAAGGGACCGCTGCCAATCCAAGACAAACTTCGACTGGCGTCTTGGGGCGGTAAAAAACCGGGGACAAGGTCCGGGGGTTCCGGGGGTTCGGGAAGCAAACCGGGGACGGCATCTTGTGTTCTTTACGTTGGACAAGGTTCCCAGTTCAGGGTTTTTTCAATAATTACCAATGGAACTGTGAGTAAAACCCACCTATTCGATCACAGTCAACGTCGATGCAATCACCAGGATGCACAATGTATTTTGGGTCGACAAATCGGCTATGGGACCTTTGCAAGACTCTGTGGTACTTCTGAACTCAGACCCCCTTCCTGCAGAAATGTGAAACAACGGGAGGTCGCAGACTCTTGGGAGTCCCAGCCATCCTGCCTACCGGTTTCAGCCGAGCTGATCCATGTCCAACTCCGCAGTGTGTTGCTCATCCCAAGCCGCCAACAGCCTGACTTTCTGTGCTTTCTCCAGCATGGCGAAGATTTTTTTTTGGCTCCGCCATTGGCTCCACATCTTCGAAGCCAGACTCCACTTCGCTGATTTCCAAAGCTCCATCGACCAATGCATGGCCTCGAAGATATCGAAGGTTTGGTTTATAAAAACAACTAAGTCTATGATGGATATGATCTGACATATCACATCGTTGAAACGATTGTGGACCAAATCATAACTGGAGGGAACTTGATACATCATTCGCCCATGTACTGCAACCATGAACTTGGTAGGTCCTGGGAATAAATGCTGGTTTCGCCATGGTAGTGAAGAATTCCTACCAAACAAATTCCTACTAAACCGTGTATTTCTGGTTGTTTGATGTTGTTTGGGTGGTAGGCTAAGTTGGATACACAATCTTTGGTAGCCTTTTTTACGGCCTTACGGTATGTAGCTTCGCCATCTGCCAAAAAAAACAATCCACCCGGTAGACTTCACCATGGTCTAGGTGAATGGTTCATGGAAGATGTATCTACAGTCCATAGTTATTGGGGCAAAAAAACACATAACATGACATAACTATAATTATGTCATATCTAACTCATAACTAAGTCATAACCAAGTCATTATCGGGAGGTACGCGTATATTTGAAAAAAAACAAAAAGAAAAAACACATGACGAACCAGGGGGTACCATCCCAGCACCCAAGGTCCCTTGGTGGCGCGCGCGCACCTGCTTGAAGGGAGCTTGGCAAAGTGGAATCTCCCGCAGGGCCGTGACGTTCCTTCCCCAAGGTAAACTTCCCCCCAAATGCCCGTGGAATGTCTGGAAACTCTCTATTTGTACCCATTTTCAAATGGGGTATTATGGATATATTACCATGGATATATTACCATTTATTATGGATTATGGATATATAGCCCATAATACCCTAGTACTAAAGCCCCAAGTACAGAATGTGTTTTTTACCTCGGCTTCTGCAGGGTGCAGGGTACAGAGATTCGGAACATGGGATTCTCCTCTTGAGGTGATGAAGCTGCGACCTCAACCGTCCAGATTATTCGAATGTTCACCAATCACCAAGGATTGGCCAGCTGTATATTTATCAAATAATAATATATTATATTAATGATAATGTGTGTATCATAGATATATCATATAGTATATTATATTAACCATGATATAAATAATAAATATATATATATATATCGTTAAACAGCTGTATACAGGGCCTTTGTTTTTTGCGCATGTTTTGCGGGGTCATGTCAAGAAGGCAGCTTCCCCGGTTTACCGCCCAGTCAGCCATATACATCCAGTATATACACAAAAAAATACGTAATTTTATATAAACAAAATATTAAAAATATAAAAATATTAATAACTAGAACATATTTTAATATATAATACAGTACATAATATATTTATTCAGTGATAAACCTCAATTTCGGTAAACGCTTCATTCTCATGTAAAATCTATATCATATATATATAATCCCTTCTCCCTATTACTGAAACTCCCTTAAAAAAATAAAAACTAAGCCAGATTATTTGTTTGGGAAATTTCAGAATTTCAGGTCCGTTTGAGGGTTCTAACCCCTTAATAATGAAAACTAGTTAACCCCGGGGTGTTTTCTATTAGGGTCCGTTTGTTAAAATCGAACATTTCCGTGCTTTTAATTAACTTTCAAATTTATTATTAGGGGAAAGGCTTAGCAAGCTTCGGAATTCAATTTTGGACAACATTTTAATTAGATTATGAAAAGGAAATTAATTTATTTTGAAATCGTTTTTTTTTCATGTTTTACATTTATTATTAGGGGAATGCTTTTCCCCCGAATATTAAATACCCCCTAGTAATAAAAACAACCCCTAGATTTTATTATTTGGGGGGACGTTTAATATTAGGGTGAAGGGATTATATATATAATATATATATATGTGTACAAATATTGCATCCCTGATTGAATCTATCACCTAAGACAGTAAAACTGTTGATGCCTCCGAAAACCAGCAGATTCCAAGGATGTGGACGGGTCAAATCTAAAGGTTTGATGGAGATATCATGAAAGCACAGCCCTTTGGAGTGAAGTCAGCCCCAAAAAACCCGAAGAACTTAGGAGTGAACTCGCAAAGCAGAAAAGTTCATCAAAGTTCCCGACATTTTTGTGGGGTGGTACATGGTGGTACCCTTTCAGGTCGCCATCATTTCCGAAGATCCTCAAAGACTTCTGCTGCAAGTAGCAACTTGGCGCCAGCCTCCAGTGGAAAAACGATTGTAGCAGAGCAAATTCCCATTTTCTGGAGGATTTTCCCCAAAAAAGTGTGGATTTCCCAAGCGAGGCAGGTTATAGGGCTAACTTAGGGGTAACGTACATCTTCGCTGCAAATCGGCAACGGATCCCGCAGATCCTTATGCTCAAATCCCTGGCATCGTAAAGCCACCCTGAAACCCTGAACCCCCAAAACCCACAAAGCCCCAAACCCTAAAACTCCTAAAACTCTAAACCCTGAGAAGCTCAATCCTGAAAGCCTAGAGTCAAAACCCTTGCCATAGCCTGTGTTTTCATTCATCCTACTGTGACAAGCTCTGGGAAAGTTCTTTGGGCATGGGCGAACTAGTGGTTTGCAGGAAACATCTTTAGACTGGTAGCTGCGGCAAACATACATAATTATATATACAAGTGAAACATATTCATCTCGTGAGATAGACACCGCATCCACATGTTCTGTGGCATCTCAATTGTCACAAGCAAAGGACAGCTGAGACACACCCCTGAAATCGTGGTCATGGAATTCCAAAATAATGGTTTCTCCGACGATTGTCTTCAAGAACTGTAGGTTCAACATCAAAAACATGTCAGCACAACCAACCATTGTCATCGCATCGTCATTGTCTGTTCCAGACACTTACAATTTCACCGACTATACCAAAAGTTATATATTATGCGCGTTGGATACTCATGTTTTTTGTGGTCATGTTCACTTTTGTGCCGGTTTATCTGTACCAACCGTTTTCCATCTATACTGGGTCCATGTTCAAGCCCGAATCGATTCTTTAGAGCAATATACATCATTTCCCAATTCCATCTTCACTTTGCATAATCAACATCACGTTTCTTGAATTATCCATATGGAGGTTTCCTGCAATGAGGGTATCCCCGATATCCCCAAATCATCCTTTTTATTTTCGGATGGAAACCCTCATTATCTTCACTCACCACAGAGAGATGCCCACCGTAGCTGCCACATGCCCCGGCCCGCGCAACTCCACGCTGCTCAGCTGAGAGCTCAAAATGCAAATGCAACCTGCGTCAACTGAGAAAGGGATAACCTGATATAACCTGGGGACAAAAAACCAGAGATGAAAACTTTATGTACATTTTGGCACATTGACATAAGTTGACTGTCTCTCTCTCTCTCTGTGTATATATATATTATAATTATATATATATATGTATATAGAACCTATGGG